ACCAGGGATAGAGCCTTTTTGGCAGCATGCAAGGCATGTTCCATACTCCTATATTATGTTTCTAATTCTTTTTGTACTTTATCTACTAAGCACCAAGGTGGTATAGTAAGAGTATGCAGGTTCAAGGACTATCATAGTTCAAGATCTGGCCAGGGATGGAAATCCAAGAATAAAATAAAGCAAAAGTCAGGCTTAGAGAAGTCCTAGTAATATCCAGATTTTCAGTATACTAGTGGAAAACCAGAGTACTGGTTTATTCAGCATTTTGAAAGAGTTGCAAACAGTATCCACATATTGTAACTATATTGTAGGCTTAAAAGTTACCTTAGAGTTTTGTCAGCCATGTCAGTAAAGTTTGGAAAAGTAATAGGAAATAACAAAAATAGAAACAATTTTTAAGTTTCAGTGATGGATGTAAAAAATCTCCTGCCTCCACCCTGATAGGATTAATGGTTCAGGTTCTCTTAGTTGACTATATGTGACTGAGATTCCTGCTAAGTGTACATCAAGATTAATGTGAAAACAATGCCAGCCAAGTCAGTATGTGTATGAATATTATGTGAGATAACCACCATGCTGCCGGGCTGGCTGGCATTAGAAAAATTCTAAGAAATACTCCCAAGAACAATGTAAGGGTCTACTGTTGCTTTAAACAGTATTTTTATATTGCAGCTAGTCATAAAATGATTACACTTCAAGTGCTCAGCTGGATATATGTATAAGGTAATTTTAGCCAGAGATTGGAGTTCAACTCACACAGTGCAGTGCTTGTCTGTTAAGAAACACAGCCCAAATGCTCAGTTATCTTGTTACCATCCCTTTGAGGGGCTCCCAAGCAGTTCTCAGGCAGTAGTCAGCTCACCAGACCAGAGCAATCAGTACTTGAGCCTGCCGATGGGATGTTGTTCAGGCCTCATGATGTTTGAGGGTCAGCAGGACCACATGTGGCCAAATCCGAGGCCAGGCATTTGCCAGGGACCAAAGCAGGGCCTTGGTAAATACTATGCATATGCTCCAGCACTTGGGCTACCTCACTGGCCCCTAAGACAACCCTTTGAAAAATAGGTGAATAAAGAATTTATTTTCAAAGCTGCCATCTTAGGGGTAGGAAAGATAGCTCAAAGAGCTAGAGTACGTGCTGTGCATGTGCCAGTCCCCAAGTTTGAACCCCAGCACAGCTTGGCCCCCAAGACCCAGATCCACTGGGCCTGAGCACCCATCCATGAAGCCTGACATTCATTGCTGGGCTGAGTTTAGCCCAGAGTGGGTACCCCTACCTCCCATGCGATGGTGGGAAGTTTCCCCTCACCAAAAAATGTTGCAATTTGAAAAGCCAGTGTTGGGTTTGCAGTGTTTTTTAGTCTTTGCAAAATATTGTAGCTATTTTATTTGACAATGTTGTGAGTTAAGAGGGAGGGGAGAGAAAATGGGGACCTGAGATTTAGAGAGGGGAGACCATGATTCCAGGTGTGTCATGAACTGTTGAAAAAATGATGCCAAGATTTTTCTTGTCTCTGTAAAGGAAGGATGAGTGCGTTGAGGGGTCAGAGAAATTAGATAGAAATCATGCAGCTATCTGGGTTTTTGAAACTTTCTTAATGAAGAAAAATTAAGATTCAGAGATAACATATAAAGAAATAAAATATCTCAAGCTTTTTCTTATTTTTGTTATTTTGTTGTGGGCTGGAGTGATAGCACAGTGGTAGGGTGTTTGCCTTGCACGCAGCCAACATGGCCGACCCGAGTTTGATTCCTCCGCCCCTCTCGGAGAGCCCAGCAAGCTACTGAGAGTATCTTGCCCGCACGGCAGAGCCTGGCAAGCCACCCGTGACGTATTCAATATGCCAAACACAGTAACAGCAAGTCTCAAAATGGAGACGTTACTGGGCCCGCTCGAGCAAATCGATGAACAATGGGAGGACAGTGACAGTAACAGTGTTGTTAGATGTCAGGATATCTTGAGTTGTGACCTAGCTCCTGCAGAGGGGTGAATCGGGAGGGAGAATGGTGGTACTAAAAGGAAAACATGCATGAAAAGCAGGTGGCAAGGAGGAGTCAGCGTCTGAGACAACGGTAGCACCTTCCTCATGTCCTTAGGATGAAAACCTTGACGTTGTCCCTGACTTTCTAAAAGTCTGTGTTCATTCTTTATATTGACTCTCCCAGCAATTACTGGAGACTCTGTTTTAAATATATATCCAGGATTCAATTACTTCTCATCTCATCTCCTCCTGTGCCAATTAAACTGGTTGTTCTCCCTTGCCTGGATTGGGGCATTAGCATCCTAAGATACTCACCTCCACCTTATTCCTTTAGTCTCTACTTTGTTTATTTGTTTGGGGACCATGCCCCATGGTGTTTAGGGGTCACTCCTGGCTCTGCATTCAAAAATTGTTTTTGGTAGAACCAGGGCACCATATGGGTTGCCAGGGAACTAACAGTTGGCATGCAAGACAAATGCCCTGCTCTCAGCACTGTCTCTCTGGCCCCTATAGTCTTTACTTTTTTTTTTCTTTTTGGGTCACACCGGTGTTTCACAGGGGTTACTCCTAGCTCTGCACTCAGGAATTATTCCTGGTGGTGCTCTGGTGACCATATGGGATGCTGGGAATCGAACCTGGGTTGGCCACTTGCAAGGCTAATGCCCTACCTGCTGTGCTATTGCTCCAGTCCCTAGTCTCTACTTTTAGAATTTAAATCACTTCACTTCTGCAGCTTTGAGCCTCCCAGTGGCTATCCATCTCTGGGTGGAAAAGCTATAGCTGGCGAACAACAGTGCTGTCTTGCAAAACCCATCCTTAAATCTTAATAAATCTTTCTCTCTCCTGCTTCTCACTCCCTGTGACCACTACACTGTAACCTCTTCTTATTCCTGTGTACCAACCACACTGGTTGCCACTAGGCCCTGCCATGTATGGGACTTCCCACACGTGTTCTCATTTCTCAGTGCTCTGAGTCAGGCCTCTGTGTGGCTGTCCCTTTCTCCCTTCTTTGTACTGCTAATCTCACAGGGTAGAGACAAACAGACTGCAATTGCTCTCTTCCCCTCCCTATTTCACTCTTTACTTTTCTCTAAAGTGCTTTCATATTTGATCGAACGCACATCATACTCCCTGTTTATTGTGGGTCTCTTCTCTTGGAGGGCAGGGATCATTCTTCTTGCCGATTCGAAACAGTGCATGGCACATTGTTGGCACTTACAGAGAGGCAGAAGGGAAAAAAAATTGGTGAAATAGAATGAAGAGGCAATAGCAGAGGCCAAAATTATGAGACTGTGCTTGAGTTAACTTCAAGTTCCTGGTAACCAATGGTAAATTAACCTCTAAAAACTTACCAAGGGAACAAGTGAAACCCAACTTGTTTCTTATTTTGGGGCTTAAGGTTGTCACATGAGGGCTGTCAGTGGAACTGTAGGACAGTCAGAGGCGTTTAGGGTATAAGGGTGAGGCATGCACACAGTGGCCACTAGTCTCATTGCTAATTGGCATCAAGTGAACATGTTTCACTGAATATCAGTAACAAATCTAATAGGAAAGGTTAATTATATTCACTAAGGAAGGACACAAGTATTTGTGAGAAAGACAATATTAAACTTTAAAGGAATAGACTTAATGGATAAAACCTTCACTTACATAAAAATACATTTGCTGAGTGTTTACTTACTGAGAAGAATTTATATTGATTTGGCTAGCATTGAACTCTCTAACAAGTTACTGCATGTATTTCTCCTGCAACTTATGACTAAAAGCTAGTTCAGATAATCAGACCTTAACTTAAAGTGATGGGTGTGTGGGTAAATAGTGCAAGGAAAGAAAACAACTGCAACAAGCAAAGCGAACCGCCTTTATTGTTGAACTGGCATAAAAATGTCAAAGCACAATTTCTTATAATTGTGGGCAGGCTTTGTATGTTTGTTATACTAAGAATGTAATTAAGTTATAGATTTCTTGTTTTGTTAATAATTAGAACATGAAGTTACAGTGGGATAGTTCCTAGGGTCTGAGAAGGAAAGAGATGCAAGTTCATGGAGCAATAAGATTGTGCTTAATGGTATGTGTATGTATACGTGTTGAAGGCTTTTAGAGTATTACCATGTAAGTGCTGAGGTGACATGATTTTCATGTATATTATGAATGACTTCAAAGGACTCCTGATGGGTGTTGCCAAAAGGACCAGCTTCATAGATTGTTATTTGAAAATTAGCACATCATATCCGTTTATAAGAAATAATTTTGTGGGTTCGATTCCCAGCATCCCATATGGTCCCCTGAGCACTGCCAGGAGTAATTCCTGAGTGCAGAGCCAGGAATAACCCCTGTGCCTCTTGCCGGGTGTCACCACCCCCCCCCCCCAAAAAAAAACCAAGAAATAATTTTGTCTTTTCACTGTTTTACTATACTAGGATTGTATTGAGCAAAAAATTTAAAGGAATAACTGTACTTCTTTCTAAACAACTTTTATTAAATCATTCGGATTTTATTGTGAATTTTTTGGCGAGTTTTTTATTGTGTGTTTTTTGCTTGTTAAGTTCCTCCAGAAGAATTCCTATGAAAAAGTTGTTAAGTGTTTACTTTTAGGAGCTTGAAAAACAAAATAATATAAAGGAATCTAATTGTGTTTGCATTCACCACAGTATCACTGTAAGTAAAAGATGGACATGTACTTCGCATAATAAGCAGATCAATTTTGCTTTGTGTTTTTGACTAAACAAAACTATTTCTTAGGAACGATGCAACTTCAAAAAAAATTTTGATGTCATTCTCACATGTCTGTTTTCAATTGAGAAGTACAATGAAGCCCCAGTATAGATTAGTGCAAATATAGTTTATTGTGAATAATACATCTGCAGAGTATGCTTGCAGCAGAGATTGAAGCCGATCTGGTGTGGAGTTGCCTTATGAATCGCCCCTTGAGCAAACTCTTCAGTTCTGTGTGTGGTTTTTAAATCACTGTCATTTTGTAGGCAGGTACATATTACAATTGTCTGTTTTTCTTTTTAGGGCTCATGTAATCAAAGAAGTTTCTTTGTTGTGTGTATCTTTTCAGAACACAACAGGAATTGAAAATGAATCAGGTGAGTTTAAAAATAAGAATTTATACAAATACATTATGTAGATATTAGATCAGCTCTTGATTTTTAAAAAGGTATTAATACATACTTCCTTTCCTCTCAGATTTTCTTTTCTGTTTCTGTTGATTAGCTCATTGCTTTTTCACTGTGTGTTTGCGCGTTTGTGGAGTGGACAGTCATTTGCCACTTCTGTGAAATCCCCAGAAGAAGCCTTGTTCTTTAAGACCAGATTCAGACTTTCTTTTTACTTTTGCTCTGACTCACACTACTCTTTTTTTTTTTTGGTTTTGTTTTGAAACTTGTTAGGCTTTCATTTTTAATATTTAAAAAAATTTATAATTTTCCACTGATTGAAAAGAGAAGATTGAAGGTTAGAAACCAAAACTGATCAATTGGAATTTTTTCCCTTTGAAAATTTTTTTTTCTTTGAAAAAACCTATTCAAGGGGGCAAATACTGAAGTATCAGATGTGTTTCCTTTATAGGAGGATGGAAGAATATCAAGATATTTAACAATTCTGTGTATATTTCTGTAGCCTTGAGGGTATTCTGATAGGCACAACCAGTTTTGGTGAATTTAATATGTTCTAAAATAGGATTCTTATTTCTGGATCTTAATATTTGTTCACTTTAGCTGTATGGAAGACAAAACTTAAAAATATCAAGTCTATAATAATTTTTAGTGCTTAGCTGAAAACGATCGGAATTGAAAACATTTTATACCGCTTATTCACTGCAGCTTTTTTTTTTTTTTAATCATTTACAGGTGCTTCGAACTTGGTCACAAGTTCCATTTTATTAGATGGACAAGTTTAATAGCATCTGTCCTGTGTTGTATTGAGAGATGTGAAATTTTTGGAATGGATTATTTTGATTTTTCATTACTTTATCAGAAATACATGTATTTTAATGCAGAGGACCATGCATCATGAAAAATGAGTCTGGTGAACACATGGGACACATGGTTTCTATTATTTTACAACTTGCAGACTTACTGATGTGCTTTTGAAGGCAAACTATTCTTGAAATGGGTAGGGGGAGGAAAAGAGAAAAGTGTGTTTTCACAGTCATTGTCTCTGAAATTAAGTGTGTATGTGTGTCATAGATTTCACTTGTTTTCCTGTTTTAAGATTGATTCTTAATGTGAACTCCGTCACCCAGAAGAACGTGTTTTTTTCCTACTGCCTGGGAACTGTTAGAGGAGGGAATCTTGATTCTGCATTAGACTGTTCTTGAATTCGTCCAGAGTGGAAACTAAATATTGACATTGCTATTGTTGCATCATGGTTCAGCGGTCTCTTATTACAGGTGACAACTTTAACCTCAGGCTTACCATGCTTTAAATGTCATACCATCTGAGACCATGAATATTTTATTTCTACTATATTTATTTTAATGTGTAGATCGGTTTAACACTCACACTTTTACTTTAATATTCCATTTATATCGAACGAACTTGTGATTAATCAAAGTCCGCATGCCATTTTAAAGGGTTGTAGTAATAACCATTTCTTTTCTTTTGTGGGAGGGGGTGCTCTTTTGCAATTTCATTTTTGCTTTGACAAGTTTTAATATCAAAATCTGCAGAGGCCTGCCTTTGATGCTAAATGCCAAATATCAATGGAAAAGTATCCTCTTATGTTTCTAATGGTTAGCACATTTCTGATTTGGCTGCAATTTATGTGGTCTGGTAGTAATGAAACTTTTATTTGGATTATAAAAATTGTCCATTTTTATGAGTGAAATTTTCAGCATCTTACTTATATTTTCATCATTGAAGAAATATTGATTCTTTGATGTTTGGACCTGATTATTACGTTCTAGCATAAGATATGAGTGTTTTCCAACAAACATCTTAATAGTATTAGGATGTTCTATGTTTTTTCTTTTTATTTATTTATATTCAGCAAGTGAAAATGAGCAGTAAAGGCTTGAATAATTAAGTTATTTAAGAAGTTTTAACTTGAACCGGATTTATTTTTAATTAAAATTGAGAAGGTAATTTTAGGGTTAGATTATTCTCTCTAGAGACTGATTGTTACTGCTATGATGAATTTCAGCTGTCAAACCTGTCTCTTATGATGGACATGGTCTCTAAGATAATAGGACAGAATCACTCACTCATGTACTCTGACAGCTGAGTTTTAAGGACTGACAGAACTAAGAAGTGGCATGACAGGTCTGTAAGTGAATCTTCCAGAAGAAACAGCAGTCCGGTCTTCTGGTTATTTGAGTGTTGACTGTTGGAGCTTTTTTGTTTTTGTTTTTGTTTTAACTGCTTAGCCTTCATGTGTTCCAACTCTTTCCTGGTGCAGTAGTTCCCTAGGCTTTCTTCTAACCCTATCTTTGGGTTCCATAGAACCCCCAAACCCACGTATTCTTTGTCCTTCTTTCTCTCCTGTCTGTACTTTATTCAGTTCTTATTCCTTTATTTTTGAAATAAAACAAGTTTATTCGAAAAATAGGGGAGAGAAAGCCAGAAGATGGGTACTCAAGAGGGACACAGGCTTCTCCAGAGTGTACGCAAATATAACAGTTCTCCTACCCCCCCCTCCCAATAACCAGGTAGAATTGTACTCCCTACCAAGTTTTAAGTTAGATGTGGCCAACTAGGGGCCAGAGCCATAGTATAAGGGGCAGGGTGCTTGCTTTGCAAGCAGCTGACCTGAGTTTGATCTCCGGCATCCCATATGGTCCCCCCAAGCACTGACAGGTTTAATTCCTGAGTGCAGAGCCAGGAGTAACCCCTTAGCATCACCGAGTATGACCCCGAAAGTCAAAAACAAAAACAAAAAACAAAAAACTAACTGTGGACAACTAATGTGAGTAGAAGAGATGCACATTAAGATAAAGGCTCTGTTGTCCCTGATTCTTGAGCAACCACAATAGAGAATATATAGTGAGAATAAGAAGCAATTGCTGTTGCTGTGTTAGGACCCTGAAATTTTGGAATCTCTCGTCTTTCAGCGCAACATATCTTTGCTTACCCTGACTGGTAAAGCAGTACTTCATGATATCCATGAAGCTGTGCTCTGGAGTCTAACTTGCTAAATGTAATTTAGAGCTCTCCTTGTCAGTCAGTTATTCTTGTTAAGTCAAGGCAAACTCTCTGGGGTCTTAGTGTGTGATCAGGAAACTAAGGTTATAATACCTATTCTTCATACAAAGAAATTATAAGGACTGAATTAATGAGAGAATATGTGCAATACTTGTCAGATTTCCTGGCATGGCGATCAATTATGCAATAAATAAAATTTGAAGTTTAGCATATCTATTTAACATATTTTTAAGTAATGTAATTAAGACATTATAAGTTTATTACATTATAGGACTTCACTCATATTGGACAGTCTATAAAGTAAGCCATTCTAAACTCTCCTAATGAGGTAGCCATTTATATTTTCCTAGATAAATTTAGGACAATTGTGAAATATCTAAAGAATTAAATACTGGGTGGATGTGGAATGTTAAAGCAAGAAGTGACTGTTCCCCTGGCCTGCCAATCAGGTCCTGACTCAGTAGGAAGATTTCACACAACAAAGCAAGCAGGGCTTTAAGTAGGGAAAGTAAGCAATATTGGGAAAAGGTGCCTTTTATTTGAAATTAGTGTTTCAAATCTATTATAAAATATTTTTCAAAATCTATTATTTTCCGGGGCCAGAGTGATAGCGCAGTGGGTAGTGCATTTGCCTTGCACGCGGCTGAAGTGAGTTCGATCCTCGGCATCCCATATGGTCCCCCAAGCACCGCCAGGAGTAATTCCTGAGTGCAGAGCCAGGAATAACCCCTGAGCATCGCTGGGTGTGACCCAAAAAGCAAAAAAAAAAAACAAAAAAAAAAACCAAAACTATTATTTTTCAAAGATGGCATTTCTAATTCTGTGTCCTCATCTTTTTATTGTATTGTAATCATATACATTCCTTACCCAAGTACAATTAATTTAATGGTGTTTTAATACTTTAATACTTTTTGATTCTTGGATGTCTTTTGTGGGTACCAGTGATGATATGACAATTACTATTAATTTACCATAGCGTTGAAGTATACATGTTTATTAGTGCCAGTGTGTGGTGGCAGGTTCTTAACATTAAGCAATGTTAAACTTATCTCTTCTCTCATTGTTATTGCTCTCCATTGGTAGTTTTGATCAAGTTGATATTTAAGAAATTAGGTACTTAACCTAGATTAAATCTGAGATAATTGTTTATGGTAATTTTATGGGTGGCATGCGCAAAAGGAATCCTTCATATAAATTTAAATGAAATATGGATTGAACTTGTTTTTTTACATACTATTTTATTTTTGAATTTTGGGCTACACCTGGCAGTGCTAAGGCCTTACTCCAGAGGTACTTGGGAGATTTTATGGTTTCATGGATTGAACTGGGGTCAGCTACATGTAAGGCAAATGTCTTAACCTTTGTACTACTTCTCCTGCCCCAAGACTTTTAAACTTAAAATATTAAAATATTAGAATGTTTCCTATGTAAGATGGCACATGAAGCCTTGTATAATGGCAGCCAGTGCTGATACTGTGTTGCACAATAGAAATTCCTTATTAATTCCAGTGACTTTCTAATTTAATGAAAGTGTGAAATGCGGTTGTGGAGAGCAATTTAGGCTGGTTTCAATGTATCAGTGTGCCTGGAGCAGAGAAGAGGCTAGAGAGGTGTTTGGTTGGCAATGTGGTCACTTTGCCCAGGAACCTGGGAAAACACAATGGTTTTTGATAAGAGGAATATTTGACTTTGGTTTTAAAAAAAGACAAAAGTCTTAATTTTTTAAAAAAAAATTGTTTCGCATAGCTATTTTTGTTCCTTATTTTCTTTGAGCTCTAAAGTTTCATTTTCACATAGGTTAGTAGAGAAGCCCTTATTTAACTTTACAAAACAAATTTGTGGTATAAATTATCTGCAGAAAATGTATTCTCTGTCTTGAGTTTTGACAAATGTCTATACTAATGTAACCAATTGCTTCCATTTTCAATATAAAGAATGACTCTGTG